TTGAAATCAGTTTGTGTCTCAATGTAACCAAAAGCCAAAACAAAACAAAAAACCTAGAACAGAACAAAACCCCAAACCAAACCTTTGAGGTTTCATATTATCTGCACAGTGGCATTTAAAACCCTTAACACATTGTGCATACCATTTTTTTTCCTTTCAAGGCCGATACACATCTTACTAACAACTTCCAAACTGTCACAGATAATGGTTTTGGTAAACTAAGCAACATATTATTAACACACTATATTTCCTGATACTGTCTTTTCTAATTTGAAATTTTTGGACTATTACATCCTTCATCTGAAATTTTATTTTTCCGGTGATTGCATATTAAATCCTAAACCCTAATCAACCAGTCCACTTACCACTGATCTCACAGTAACAGCTGCAACCAGATCTTACCATATACCCGATAACTGTCCAGGATCACACTGGATATCCATGGGCATCATCTCCCATACTCTTTCAAATACATGCCAGGAAAATATTATCATTATTTCACAGGTAAAGGAAATAGCTTCAAGAGGTGGAAGACTGGGAACTAGCTGTCACTCTGTCTTTCTGAGGCTGGAAATAATTATATATATAAATGGAAAGAGTCATGCAGATGGCAGTTATCAGAGACACTAAGAGACAGGTGGTCCGGGATCACACATCAAGACACTCCAGTTCCCCTTGGAGTAGGACAGCCCCTGCATGTGTGGGTGCTGGAACCCGAAGCTAGACTCTGATGGAACTCCTGGTTGTGGGGACGATGACTGTGGAGGGTAAAGGCCGGGATGTTGCCTAGGAGACACAGAGGAGACAGGTAGCAGTATCCCAACTTCACCCAGTCCAAGAGGAGGCAGAAAGACAGTAAGAGCCAGAGGTGATGGATGACTCCAAATGCCATCGTCCAGACACAACAGGATCGATGCGCCAATGAACCGAGAGCGATTGGGACCGTTCACTCCAAGAGCAATTGGGACAGTTCCCACAAGACCACACTGCTTAAACTAGATGACATCCCAGGGCTGAGAAGGGGAAGTGGACACAAAGCCAAGTGGACAAGGAGCTATTTGCAGCTGATTCCTACCGAGAGAAGGAAGATCCGTTTTCTCTAGTGGAGTAACACCAGGTGTATCAACCACACATCAGGGCAGGACCCATGTCCAGGAGTAGTTGCCAACACAAAACGGACCTAATGCTTGTTTTGGTGTTTTTGTTTCGTTTTTGTGTGAGTATTCTGTTTTGGCATTTTTTTTTTTTGACTTATTGTTCTTTTTTTCTTTAGATTGTTTTGATTTTCCTGTTTTGCTTTTGTTTTCGTTTTGAGAGAGATAATGAGAAGGAAAGAGCGCGAAGTCGGGTGGGTAGGGAGGTGGGATTCTGGGAGGAGTTGGGGGAGGGGAAAGAACGTGATCAAAATATATTGTATGGGAAAAATACTAAGTAATGAAATTAATTAATTTAAAAAAGGAAAACAAAAAATGCTCAGCTTCTCCTTGTAAGGAATCTGTTAGCGTAACAGACTTCTGTTTGTTTCCTTTAAGGACTTCTGTGTTTGGGAGCTGTGGGCAGAAATCAGCATGCACTAAATTGAATGTGGTTGAATGGAGACATTCATAGTGCTGCGAGCCGCGAGCCAGCAAGTGGGACTGGCTCATCCTCACCCTAACCTGCCACGGGGTGAAACAGGGTGCTGGCTTTGTGTTACATCACACCTCGGTGATTTCATGGGTCCTGTGTCCTCCTCTCACAGAGCAAAGAGGTGGTTTCTTGTCGTAGCTGGCCTGCCTATGTGTGTGCTTGTGATGGGCAGATTCCTAGAGTTTAATGTTACCGTTTTATTCTCAAAACAGCTGCCTGCTCTGCCACTGATGAGCCTTTGTTCTGGAAAAGAGCAGCGAGGCTCAGAGCAGTTAGTTAGCTGACGAACACACGCACTTATCCGTGGATGTTCTAGCTGTAATTTGGGGTGCTGGAAGTGCCCTGAATAACAGGCTCTGCCATGTGGTTATTCACAAACGTCTATAGGTAGCCACATGAACATGAAGCGTGTTCTTATAGACGTAAGCCTCCGTCACCGTCCTCGGGCAGGCTCTCATCTTTCCTCTCCGGCAGTGAACTACCATGGCTTTATTCACGTTCTCCATCACAGCAGCTAAAGCCTTCTGATGCTTCCCTACTCTAATGTAATAAAGGGCTGTATGATTAGAAAGTATTGTACTGTGGGTTTTAGCAAACAAATATGGGCTAGTGCTATGGGAATGCTCATGGTTTCCCGATATGGTTGGGCAGTCATTTCTTTACCTACCCGAAGATAAATGAGTTTTCTAAATTATATTTTTCAATTGCATTTTTCTTTAAATAATAAAGACAGTGTTGTCATCCCCCGTCCCCCCACCCTACGCCTGCTGCCCCAGCCCCATGGCTCCTCAGAGGCCACAGGCAAGCTCTATAACGAATGGGAAAATTCGTTCTTGCTTGGCATGGCAGAGCAGCCCTATGGTCGGGGGAACTTTAGCAGTGGAAGCAGGAAGATCTGAGTCAGAGCTTGGGTTACATGAAACGGCATTTCAAACAGCGGCACCAGCACCAGCGCCACCAGCACCAGCGCTACCACCCCTAAGGGAACTCTATCCTGCATCTTTGGCCTGGGAGAGCAGTGATGATCCTCAGGTAGCAGAGCTCAAAGTCTGACCAGTATTTATTTCCCGACTCACCTCGCCTGCCGAGGCTTTGGGGGTTAGTGAGTTGCTGGAGCTGCTGGCAAAACAACACGTGTTTTGTAATGTCTGTCAATGAATGGTGCTATTTGTTTTGGCCTTTCCTGGGTAAATTTGGTGGGGAGCCAGGGCAGGACAGGGTAGTACTTAGAGCGGAGCTAAGCAGTGCAGCTGCACGAATCTCTAGTGGTGGACAGGAAGCAGGGCAAAAGGATACTCGCCGAGGCCTGGTGGGAATAGAACTTGACTTACCTGCTCATATTTAAATGATGAACAGAGGCCAGAGAACTACCACAGCAGGCCCTAGTGTGCCGAGAGAGATGCCTGCTCCCTTGGTGGGGGGTGTGGGTAGATATATCATTCTGGGGTCCTATCACACCAGGACTGAAAACTAAAAGTTCCTCTCACTAGCAAAATTTTCTTAAACATTTCACATATGTGATCATAATTGCAGGACAGTGTGAGAAGCTTGACGCTATTGGGGGGGGTATGCACACTCATATTTCTGAGAAATAAGAATGGTTAGCTGGTATAAAGACATGAACATATTTACCAGTTGAGAAGTAAGCACCAAAATTAAATACCACAGGAGAAATCGTATGCCCTCAGAGACTGGGTGTGCCGCACCTAAGTGATGAGAACTCAAGGAAAGACACATCAATCCACCATTGGAAAAGACTTATCTCTGTGTATGTGTGTTTGGGTGGACATGTCCAGGAGCCCGTGGTCACACTGGGCACAAAACCCCACTCTTAGTTTGTTTCCTTAACTACCAAATCACATTTCCAGCCCTGCAATGTGGATTCTTGACTCTTCCACAAGGTTGGCCAAGAAGACCTACAGATGATGATGGCCACATTATCAGAAATTCTCATATTTTAATCAAAATATGACTTCTAAGACTGTTGACTATGAGCCTATAAAAAGAACTCTGAACTCTTCTTCATTGCTTTGAGCTTTATATAGCCAAATAATTACTGAAGGCTTCAACCTGTCCTTTTTACTTTTTTAACTGCAAAGGTCATCTCTCTGCTTCTTCTTGCTTTGAGATCATGCACAACATCATCAATTACATGTTATTAGGATGTTAATTCTCCCTTCAAATACCTCATTATGCACATATCAAGTTAGCTATGTATTTTCCCCTCTGAATCAATTTAAAAACTAGAGGTCAAGAAAAAAACCTCATTTATTTTACTGTGCTTTGCAGTTCAAAGCATCACCATCTAGTCCCTCACAAATATTTTTTTTCTTCAGTTGTTGCCTGGAAAAATGCATTTGCCTAGCTTTTTTTTTTTCTAAAGCTAAAATTGAGGAGGTCAAATTTTATGGATGATACAAAACACTTTCCTCTGTGAACAATCACACATCCTTACCTCTGTAAATATCTGAAAGCATTCTCACAGTCAGCCCGGGTCCAGCTGGGTCCACTACAAACTGACAGCTGTCTTGTAGTTCAGACCCACTCAGACTCTCTTAAGGAAGCGTCTCCTGTCATGTGATCAAGAGTTCATGGTAGATGAACTCTATAGATGATACCTTCTGACACTGACTCTGAGGTATGGAGTCTTTGTTAATATTCCTGACTTGTGAAGCAAATATTGGCAGATAAGGGAGTGGAGGAGGTGAAGGGAAGGGGGAGGAAAGAAAGAAGCCAAAGTCATTTTGGATGAATTAGCCGCCTTCCACAGTTGCATAGGGAGCCTCAAGTATACTGTAGATTTGGCCTGGTTGGAGGCAGAAGCTTGGCTGTTAACCTCCAACACAAGTGGGTGTATAATATGAGTTTTCCCAGCATGGGGGTACTTCTAAGGCTCGTCTATTCTCTGTCCAGAGATGATAGCTAGAAAGGACTCTGTCTGCTCAATAAGTCCTCAAAAGAGGCATATACTTGGCTATCAAAATCTGTATTTCAGTTTGGATATATAGCTTTCTTCATGTTTTACTGGGTCAGGTAGACTGTATTAGGGGTTTCACTCTGAGGCAGGGTTTACCATAACAAGGGTGTGTCAGACTTGAACAAAGAAACTGATTGCCCCTTGGTGTGCGGGGTGGGTGGCGGGGAGAGGATAGCATCCAGAAGGTGAATCAGAGGTATTACAAGGGATAATACACATTATGGTTGGCTTAATATTGCCTATAAATTAGAACCACCTGAATAGGGAGGCTTACCCAAAGAACTGCCCTGATTGATTGCCTTAATGGATGAGGAGAGACCCACCCCAACTGTGGGTAGCACTTTCTGGTAACACCCTAGATAAAAATGGGTGTGTCAGAAGGAAGAACGCTCACCTTTTGCTTCCTTGGCCTTCAACTTGCTGCTGAGTTCATTGACTTAACTGTTGCTGTTGCCGCTGATAGCGTGGGCTGCCAGATTCCTGTCATAAACTAAGGAGGAAGAAAAAAAAAAAAGAACAGAAAGGACTTGAGTGCTCCTAGGAGTGGTAGAGGAGAAAGTTTACTGTAGATAAAAAGGAGATCTAAGTAGGGACATCTGGGATTGTCCAGAGTGCACATGACCAGACTGAGCAGGGCCATGTGGGCAGAGGGGAAAGGGGAAGAGAAAGGGAGGAGAAGGGAACCAGGTACAGCATCCAGGAGGCCAAAGGTACAGGAAGGGGAGCAGGTAACCAATATGTCTGGATCATACAGGGAAGAACCTCTGGGGGGGAAGGGCAACCCAGCTCCTGGGCTGGATAAGTGCAGAGAAGGGGGCAGGGTATGTGGGCCATACCCAGTAACAGGTAGGGCCTGAAGGATGCTGGTGAGAGAACCTGGAGGCCAAGCCATTTTTATGTAAGCTGACTGCAGTAAATTCACACACACACATCTGTCTAGATCTCTATCATCCATGCTAATCTCATTGATTCTCTTCCTCTAGAGAACCCCGATGGATACGTCCAAGTTCTATGAAACTGGGTCACAAGGGAGGAGCAAGGAAAGGAATTAAAAACCCACCACTAACACCAACACCAACAAACACGACATAGCTAAAACAGACCTAGGCTGTGCTCATCTGTGGGAAGGGTGAGGATAATCTGTTCATATAAACTGTTCACATAAACTCCTGCTTCGGAGTAAGGCTGGTCAGCAAGCTCTCAGCTCAGATAGGAGGAGTTGCTAGAACAGTCTCCATGTGAAGAGTCCAGTGCAGTGGTGTAGGCCGCAGGCTGGAAAGGAGCCTGGTTCTCCAGGGACCAAGGAAATCTGTGGAAGTAAACCCCCACAGAGGCCTGGAATGATGGTGAATTTAGCACTAAGGACAATGACCTTGGGTGAAGTCCAGAGGCGGGGCCGGCTGCCTCCAAGGGAAAGGAAAGTGAAGCTATCCAAGAGCAGGCGTGGAAGGCTTTCAACCTGTGCCAGAATAATTGAGGAATGTGAGGTTGTTGTCGTGCAAATTACCTCAGCCCTGTAAAATTTGTCTTCTGAAATTTTCTCACACTTTAATCGGAATTCAGAGCCTTTTTGACTCTTTGAGACTCTAGGTCTATGGTCCTCAATGGGTGGTGTGTGTAACGTGCCCTAAGGATGCTGTGTTGTGAGCAGCATCTCTGGGTGTGCCTTGTTAGAGGAGTGAAAAGAGTCTTTATTTAAGGGCTTTCAACATCATGTCGGCAAACAGCATCTTCTTAGAGAGACTGAAAAGCTTTAGGATTTTGCTAGCTCTTTTGGGCCCCAACCACTGAGGCACAGTAGTATCTGTCTGCTCAGGAATATCCTTTCCTGCTATAACCAAATTGAAAACGCTCAGATTGGTACTCATGATGCATCCTCGAAAGGGCTTCCTCTCTCCATTTCTTGATCAATAACAAGAATGGTCTTTACAGAGCAGCAGACAGACTCTGCTGTAGGTTCTTGAGCTTACAGATAAGCACTAGGGAATCAGGAATGCCAAACACACAGTATTATCCTTTCAAAGGAAGGAATGCACGACCTGTCTTCCCACCCAGACGGCTAGGAGCCTAGTGACCTTTACATTATCTGTGTGGTAGAAACCACACCACATCAGACCCTCCCCCACCAGACCTTTATCATGAGCCAGTCAATCTATAGAACCTTTCTTTGTGGAAGGTGTCGCTTGTACTTCACAAAGAGTTTCGATGTTGTCACGTCTTAAGCTTTATTGTGCTAACAGGATTGAGTTCGTTATCATCAGGGAAGTTTTCACCAAATTGTGCTGTGTTTAAAGATGCCTGAAATAAACAACCCAGAGTCAGACTCTCAATGTTTGAACTAACGGGGGCTACTTAGTCGTGTTGAACCAGATTTCCTTTGGCCTCCTGTGAACTGTTACTCTGCTGGCTGGGGAGGTTGCAGAGCCCCTGCACTCTGCCATGGGTCAAGACACCTTATTTTTTTTGGAAAAACTGACTTTGTCCTTCCCACCACATCTTCAGACCACATAACCCTTCCACTCCTCACCCAGAACATAAGCAGTTACTTCTGTGGCCCTGTGCTTCCCATAGAAAGTGCAAAGCTTGCCTTCCTTGTTCACTTTGGTGAGTTTTTGACAGCTAGTAGCTGTTCAAAGGAGACACTCAGTTTCATCTTGATACAGACAATGGGGAAAAAAAAGCTGTCTTTTATGCATTTTAAGAAAAGTAAACCATAAAGACAAACAACATGTTTTCTTTCCTATGATATCTAGATTTGTGTTGCGTGTATGGGTGTACCTGTAGGTAGGACACGAAATCAGAAAGGGGACCATGAGAGGAGGTCTGCAGGGATGTTTCTCATTCAAACCACCACACTTTGTGACGTTGTTCTCAGACGCTGTACACAGATGACCTAAGAGAAAACCTATGGAGTCCATCTCAGTCTGATTCCTTTGTGGTTCAAGCCCTGTTTTCCTTAGCTCTATGGCAAGTAAAACTTTAAATGTACACTAAAAGTGTACAGCATTTCTGAAGAGCATCCAGGTAATACCAGACTTTGTGAACCCCAGTAGGACAGTAAGCTCCCAGACCTTTATGTGTGTAGATGCTTTTGTTTGGCATGCATGTTGGTGCATACATACATGCAGTATGCAAAGAGGCTAGAAAATAGCATTGGATCCCCTGCAACCGGAGTTACAGGTGGTTGTTAGTAACCACGAGAGTGCAGGGAACTGAACCCAGGTCTTTTGGAGAGTGGTTAGTGCTCTTAACCACCTAGCCAAGCCATCCCTTAAGCCCCAACACCCAAATCCATCCAGAAGGTGATGCTGTAAGCCTCTGAACCCAATTTTTGGCTCTGTGTCTTTACATTCTCATCTGTGCTTAGGTTCCTTTCTGCTTTTAGGGAATTCCCTTTTCTTGAAGAAGGTCGCCTATGTGGTTTATTTTCCTATCTAGTATAGTTACTAAGCAATTTAATGTTTCTTGCAAATGGCCTCTCCACTGAGTAGAAAAGCAGGAAAGATTACTAGAAGGAAAAGAGCGAGAGCTGGTTTTACACACAGGCGCCTCAACCATTCCTGAACTTGGATCAGTGGTAGGAGTTGTCCAAGAGTTCCTTGTTGACTCCATCTTCTTTAAGGCCTGAACCACAGACATTTGGTTGTGCCAGGTCTGGTCTGTTCAAATCTATTCCTTTTGAATAGATTTGGTTTTTCTTCTTTCCTTTCCTATTCTATCCCCATTTAAAATCATCTGTCATCCTCCAATCCATATATCATCCATTCTTATTTTGTTTAAGGTGGTCTAAGTTCTAGAAAGATGTGAAATGAACTGGGCTCTGGTTGCGTAAGACTCAAATGTCAGTGTTTTGGGGGCTGAGACAGAAGAGTTAGGATTTTAAAGTCAGGCTGGGATACTTAATAAGATGCTGTTGGAAGGAAGGAAGGAAGGAAGGAAGGAAGGAAGGAAGGAAAAAAGAGGAGAGAGAAAAGGAAGACACATATAGTCTCTCTCTCTCTCTTTCTCTGACACAGACACACACGCAGAAGCAGACAAACAAACAGTCACACAGATATGGGGGGGAGGGATGCCAGAGAGAATGGTACATGCTTGTAATTCTCGTATTGGAGAGATAGAGATAGGTGAATAGGGTTCACTGGGCAGCCAGCCTCATCTAATCCTGAAAACTCCAGGTTCCAATGAGAGACTGCCTCGAAAATAAAATAAACATTAAAAAAACCCATATATATATACATATATATATATTTATTTAAAAGGCAGGTAGTTTTCCAAAGGAAAAATACCCAGAGTTTATCCATGACCTGCACATGCATGCATACACGCATGCATCTGCTTGTGCACACAAACAAACATGCACAATACATCCACAACCACACAAAAGGGATAGAGGAGGGAAAGAAGACGTGGATGGCCATTATTCATGCTCTTAGCGGTTTATCCCCATGTACTTCTTGTTTAGCCATGTACTTTTAAAAGGTCATGCAGCAAGGAGGAACAGCTGTGTTTAATCTCAACAGACACATGAGGCAGACTCCAGGCGCTCAGCACCGGGAATACCTTTTTTTCAGAGTGTTCCACTCATTACTTGTGTATCATGCCTGTCAAACCTTTAAGTTACCCAGGACAGAGGGTTAGCTAACTTAAGGAGCATCTCATGCTAACCTTGGTCAGCCATGGTTATTCGCACGGGGTTCTTCCACTTCCTGCCAGGCCCAGGGATTGCAGAGGAAGCAAAGTTATTGTCTGCTGCAAAGGCTAGGAGTGCTTAGAGAGGAGGAGGTGTGGGCACCAACTTAATATTCTCCTGGAGTTCAGAGTGATGGGGAGAGGACGGCAGCATTATTATTTTCTTAGAACCAGACTTCCTGAGGGTTACTTTTGATCCTTTAAATTATTTGCCAGTGTTAATGAAGGTCCATATTTCCTGCTTTCTTAAGAATTTCCATTTTTAATCTCGCTGTATCGGGATGGAACCCCCAGGCCTTGCAGTTGCTAGACAAGTGCTGTATCTCGGAGCTACATCTGCAGCCCAGAAGTGTCTGCTTTAAACAAGGAAATCAACAACCTGTCTGATATCGTAATAGCATTCCAGAGATGCTAATTTTGAAAAGCAGAGGAATTTAGAGTGTCCTCACACTTGTATAATGATGGTGATCCATTTCAGCTGGGCATGTACTAGTCTAAGACTAAGAGGCTATTTTTATCCAGGGGGCAAAGCACGCAGACATACAGCTGGTGTTTTAAGAATAGACAGTGTTAGGTGATACAACAAAATAGTTGGACAAAAGCTGGGTCCGGGGGGCTGGAGAGATGGCTCAGTGGTTAAGAGCATTGCCTGCTCTTCCAAAGGTCCTGAGTTCAATTCCCAGCAACCACATGGTGGCTCACAACCATTTATAATGAAGTCTGGTGCCCTCTTCTGGCCTGCAGGCATATACACAGACAGAACATTGTATACATAATAAATAAATATATTTAAAAAAAAAGCTGGATCAGTGCATTGGATTAATATCATGGGAGCTACTCAGCCCCATTACTAACTGGAAGGAACAGCTTCCACTTAAAGCTATGAGCCCAAATTTGGCTTTTATATAAATTGGAAGCCTCCTGGGTTTCTTATTTCTTTGAATGCATCTCAGAATATGATCAATTCAGAAATGACCAAGTATTTTAAGGAATGAAAAACAGTTCTAGTGACAGCTTGTATCTGAATTATTCCTAAAAAGAGAATAACATTTGTTTAGAAAGTGAAAATGATAAGGTGTTGAGTAAGGGATGGGGATGTTGAGGGGCAGGGAGCTTCTAGAGGCTGCAGGTACTGGGAACTTCCTAAGGAAGAAAATATTTCCTTGTTCATTTCAAAAATAGATAAATGGAAAGAATAGAGGTGGAGCTCGATGGCCAAGCCTGAGGACTAATGGAAGGACCTTCACAAGGATTCACGCTTCTAAAGAGGCAAAAAGAAATAGAGATGCATGCACTTCTTGAAGTGAGTGCAGTTTTTTCTTTTCTTTTTCAAGACAGGGTTTCTCTGTGTAGCTTTGCTGTCTGTCCTGGAACTAGCTGTTGTAGACCAGGCTGGCCTCGAACTCACAGAGATCTGCCTGGCTCTGCCTCCCGAGTGCTGGAATTAAAAGCCTGCACCACCACCACCCAGCCATGAGTGCCTTCTTTTATGGAAACAACAAACAGTTGCGTGTTCTTTGTCTAAAGTGGTTCTCAAACTGTGGATCAAATGACCTTTCATAGGGGCCACATATCAGATATCATGCATATTAAATATTTATGTTATGATTCAAAACAGTAGAAAAATTGCAGTTATGAAGTAGCAACAGAAATAATTTAATGATTGGGGGTCACCACAACTTGAGGAACTGTACTAAAGGGTCGCAGCATTAGGAAGGTTGAGACCTGTGATTCTGGAGTATTGTGGAGACTATTATGCAAGAGGAAGAGCAGCTACGGTCTATGGCGGCAAAGAAAGCAGGAGAAGGAAAGCCTGAAGATTTGCAAAAATTACAGTGCAGCCCCCTTTGAACTGTAAGATGGGGTTTAAGATGAAGCTTAAGTAAATGCTGTGGGGACCAGGCATTCTGAGATGACATTTAAGGTACACACAGCAGATTATTTATCCCTAAGAAACTTTTCACATGAATCTAACATTTTTAATTGCTTCTCTTCTTTTTGAAGTGTTCTTTGAAAGGTCACATTGTCTCTGAGGGAGCATCTCCTGCTCTGTTTCTGCAATCAAACAGCCGCTTCCATAAACCCTGAGGTTTCATAAGTCCAAGTTCCCTCAATGTTTAAACCTACTTTTTACCCCCCCTCTTGTCTATTTTTAAAGCTTGAAAAGAAAAACCTAAATTAAAAAACTTGGCATAGCAACTGTTGAAGTCATGCTATCCCCCATTTTGATTTACTCCGTGTTGTATAAGACGGTGGTTTCTCAGGCTCTGCTTTGTTCTAGAAGACTCCATTTACAAGCAACGGTGACAGGGAAGTATGACTCTCCACCCAATCCAGCATAGAGTGAAAAATGACTTACTTATTTCTGGAAATTGAAAGGTAGCTACGCTGTAAGTATAATGGGGTGAATTGAGACTTTTAGGGCACATGGTTATATTGAAATCATATTAAGGAAACAAAGCCCAAGAACTGCTCAGACATACTGTCCTTTGCTGAGTACTTTTCTTAGTATTAACATCAAACTACAGAGCTGTCTGCTGAGGTTCAGCGAGTGCTAACTGTACCTAAGAAATAATGAGTTTGACTAAATACTCAGTGGGTCCTGTCTCTGGAGTAAAGGGGATGGACCAGAGCAAAGTTTTCTGGCGGGACCTAAATTTTAATATGGGTTAAATACATCCAGGTGAGAGACAGTCAGCCAGTAAATGTTTATTCAGTGAGTGTGTGGAATAAGATATGCAAACATACACTGGCAAAAAAAAAAAAAAGAAGTATGATATGACTGTTCTCAAAGAGTTGATAATTAAGAAAACTGCATGGAGTATTCATTCAGCAATAGAAACATCTGAAAGATCAGTACAGGTCAGTATGTGTGTGCTTGGGTCATCTAAAGACTATTACACGTAATTTTTCTGACAGTTCTATACATTGTAAGGCAAAAGAAGAATCCCGCTTTATCTTCTTTCTTTTTGGTTTTTTGAGACAGGGTTTCTCCGTGTGGCTTTGGAGCCTGTCCTGGAACTCACTCTGTAGACCAGGCTGGCTTCAAACTCACAGATGTCTGCCTGCCTCTGCCCTCGGTTTCACTTTAAATATTTCTTTTGGATAAATGTTTATTTTATGTACAGTTTATTGGATGACAATCATAGCTGGAAAAATTCGATAAAAATATTTTGACTGTTATTGATACTTTTATCCAGCTTTTCTTTCATACTTTAAATCTTATGTCAAAATTTTACTTACTGTATTATGAGGCATAGTGTTACAGGTTACAGAGAACAAGAGGCTTTTAAAACACATTCTGTTTCCTGTTGAAATAGGAGCGGCAGGGCTGCGTCCCCAGCACCCCGGCCGCCTGCTAGCTTATGCCCGAAATAACAACACACAAACTGTATTCATTTAAACACTGCTTGACCCATTTCTATCTAGCCTCTTCTAGGCTAATTCTCACATATTAATTTAGCCCATTTCTAATCATCTGTGTAAGCACCCCAAGGTGCGCTTACCGGGAAGATTCTAGCCTACGTCCATCCTGGGTGGGAGGAGCTTCATTGTGTGCATCTGTCCCGGAGAGCGGAGCATGCCTTTCTGTCTGAGGCCTCTGGCTCTGAGAGGAGCTGCATTACTTATGACCTCCCTTCTTCTTCCTCCCAGCATTCTTTTCTGTTTACTCCACCCACCTATGTTCTAACCAATAAAATGGGCCAAGCCAGTTTCTTTATTAGCCAATGACCTTCCTCCTTCAGTTTCCAAGGACTGTTTGCCCTGGTTGGCTAGACAAGGTCCTTCCTATTATCATAATGACAAACATTACAGAATTCCAAAGGAGGAGGGGACCAGTTAGGGCTACGGGAGACGGAATCTGGAGGAGACAGACAGGGTGATGGGATTTTGGTGATGGTGGGAGTGGGCATTTCAGATGAGAGCAGTAAAAGAAATGAAGGGCAATTCTGAAAGATACTCAGAGCAGTTTCGGTGCAAAGAAATGTTTAGTAATGTTTGAATAAGGGACCTGTCTCTTGCAGTCATGAGCGTTGTGGCCAGACGGCAGTATTGTGACCATGTAGTGCAAATTTCGAATAGTCCTATGGAGTTTGTACTTCATCCTAGGAGAGCCTCAAGGAAAGATTTTGAACAAGCAAGCGATGCCAAAATTCAGGTTTGATGAAGTGGTCCTCAAAGTGAGCCCCACATTTATTTTGGAGAACAAAGAGCCTGAAGGCAAAATGCTCAAACTAGGGGTCTTTCCAGTGTCTGTGTGATAATCTGGGAAAGATTGGAATCCCGTGAGAATCGAGAATGAAGGACAGACCAAACCCAGTGCTTTTGGGCCAGTATCGTTTTGCTTTGACACATTTTCATGGAAACCGATTTGCAAAAGAGAGTGGTATGAGTTCTTTATCTGCATGATTTCATCGTCAACAACCCAGCTTCACTCTCACGGTTTGTACAATATTTGAAGCAGGACAGTCCATTCAGAATTTAAGTCCTTAGAAAATTTTGTATGGGTTTGAGGAACTGGTGGATTTTCTTTCATCTCCCCGTGAGGGCTATGAAGCTCAGACTTCCTGAAGCTGGCAGGTTAGGTAGGACTCAGGCTTGGGCTGCGAAGCTCAGACATCCTCCAACTGGCAGGCTGGCTGTGACTCAGGCTTCAAGCTGCACTACTACAGCTGTGTTGACTTTAGGCTAGAGTCTCTCTTTCCCCTTTGTTCTTAATTCCCCTGCCCCTCCCTACATCTTGCCGGTATTTTGTCCTCGCTCCTAGACAGATGTCTATCTGGCATTCTCAGCCTGTGAGCAGATGTCTTCATCTTGCACTTTCTTTGCTCAAACCCTAGACTTATAAAAAATGTGATCCTTTACCAATATTACTGGGCCTCACCTGGCCACTTTTCAGAAATGTGAACTTTCAGGCCCTCCTAGGGATAAGAAACCTTGTGGGGAAGTCTGGCTGTCTGTTGAACTAAGCCTTCCAGGTGATTCAGACAGATGCTGAAGTTTGAAATCCATTGCTCTAGGGGGTAGTTCAAACTCTATTTGTCTAGTCAATACGTTCTCCTGCTGGTGGTGTCTCTTGTCCATTCTATATGTTTGCTCTGTTTTTCTAGTAAATTCTGTGTGTGCTCTCTAGAATATATAAATTCCTTCTTTCTTCTATCCTGGGTGTTGATCTTTAGGCCTTGCACATGCTAGGCTACAGCAGAATTGTATCCCGAGCCCTCCTTTTAATTTTTCTTTTGATACAGGGTCTCACTAAGTTGCCCAGATTGGCTTGAGTTTACCCTGTAGCCCAGGGCAGTTTTGAACGGTTTTGAACTTGTAATCCTCCTTGTCTCAACTCCTGAGTAGCTAGGATTATATATCAATGTCATTTAGTCTGGTGAGATGTGTGTGTGTGTGTGTGTGTGTGTGTGTGTGTGTGTGTGTGCATACACATTCCTGGAGAAGACTGTCTAATGTTTGTAGTTAATTAAAAGTCCTGAGAGGCACTGTCCTCTGCCTTCTGAGTGCTGGGATGAGAGGCAAGCACCAGCACACCTGGTCCATGGGATGCTTTTTTTGGTGGGTGTTAGCACATAAACCTGGAGTGTCATGCTTGACTTTAAGTGACTGTGTGATGTTAGCAGAGGAAGAGTTGGGATTTTCTTGGATAACCTGGACTCAGACTCCTTGTGGGGAAGAAAAGAGGTGACGAGCGCTGCTTGTCACCTGTGCAGCTGTCACTGGAAATGGTCCAGAAGCGAGGAACGTCACCGAGTTCTGAAAATTATCCCAGGCAGGACGGAAATGAAAGACCCTCAGCAAACTGGCTAGGAACACAATTCCTAAAAGATAGAGATGCTGTCTGATGTATGTATATTTGATAGACACGTGCTGCTGGATGTGTGCTTTAATGTGTCCAAACACCATTCTCACCAATGCCTCTGTAAACTTTAGGAAACGCTTTAGAAGTTTAAAGGCATGGCCTCTTAACAAATTGGACAATAGCCTATGAATTGCTTTGTCAGCATCATGGAAGGAATGAGCTTCGGTGGAGGGGATCTCTTACTAAATAAATGAAGGCAGGACTCATGGGGCTGGAAGGTTAGGCCTATCCTATCACAATGTGAAAGATGTTGGCAATACATGCGCCCGATAACTGGGTCAAAGGTGCTTCTGTTCTTCATTTGTTTAATAACCAACAAACACCTATTTATTGGATATTAAAGATGAATTTGGTTCTTACCTGGGGATTTTCGTCTAGCTGCAGATTCAAGGTTAACATGTCTGAAGCAATACCAAAGTGCAAGATGACAGATTGCTAAGTATTAAATTGCGTTATCCTTGATGTCTGTTGTTTATTCTTGGTAATCTCGCCCATCTCTGATGGCGTTTTCTAATAAGTGAGCGGGCAGGTCAGTGGTTCAATTTTTTAGCGTGGAATGAAAGTATCCTCATGACTATTTTAACATGTACCATCTGAAAGTGTGTACTTAATCTAAAAATGGCATAACAGTATAGCTGTATGACTCTTAATGGGACTGGAAAAATATATAAATTAAATATTGGAAAACTGTACGGCCAACAGAGCTTATATTCCCGAGTGAGTGGCTGATGCCTTACTGAAGCAAAACTCACTACTGGCCCCCAGGCCTGTTCAGGTATGCCCCTGGGGCTTTTGGGAGTATTTCTTTATTGAGGACTTATTTGTATTTTTTTTTAAATTATGTGCAGGTATGGGTAAATGCATATCCAAGGGGGCCAGAGGTGTCGGATCTCCTGGCACTGGAGTTACAGACAGGTATGAGAAGCCTGATGCGGGTGTTGGGAATTGAACTCTGGTCCTCCCAATGCTGAGCCATCTCTCCAGCTCCCTTTAGGCCAGCAGTTCTCAACGGGGGTGGTGGAGCGTGGCAAACAACGCTTTCTCAGGGTTTGCAAATCAGATATCCTGCATCACAAGGTATTTTCACTATGATTCATAAGAGTAGGAAAATTACGGTCGTGAAGCATCAACAAAAATTTTATGGCTGTGGTCACCACAACATGAGGAACTGCATAAAGGGGTGCAGCATTGGGAAGATTGAGAACCACTGCACAAGGCCTTACTGTATTGTTTGATGCCGCAAGGCTCAGCACTTGATGGAAACTGCTGTGAAACTGTTTTATATAGATCCTGGGGGGGGGAGGATATTTGGGCTGTATATTATATTTAAAAAATATGTCTGTATTACCTCTGCTTGTGATATCATCTCATAATTTAGCAGTAGGATGACCAAAACTGATCGAAATACAGATGAAAGGGTAAAATCACCGTCTTGGTGGCACTTGATGTAAGGACGCCGTTGAGATGAGCCGGACTTTCTTCTCCTGATTGCATACTTTTAAAGATAGGAAGATATGAAATTCATTCTAACAATGGGGGTTGCCTATAGTAGACTCAGCTGTCCCAGGGATCTCTAGGAATGAATGTTGTAGACACCCAGCCTCAAGCTCTCTGTTCCTTTCATTTTGCTCCGCTACACACAGCTGACTAACCCAGGGGCCCATTCTTCCCTAGAAGCCCATACTCAATGACTCATGGAACGGAGCCAGCTCTGTGGCATAGCTGCTTGGTAGAGCTCTGCTTCTCGTCACCGCTGCTTAGGATTCCCAGTCAACACCCTGCACGACATCCTGCATGTCAGCACCTGCTTCCTCGTCATTGCAGGGGCCTTTAATCCAGCCCTCTCCAGAGGCAGAGGCTGACAGGTCTCCGTAAATTCGAAGCTAGCCTGGTCTACATAGCCCAGTTCCAGGTCAGTCAAGATTGCATCGTTAGAATCTGTGTCAAAAACCAAGCCAAACCAAGTCAAACATCTCCTAAACAAAGCAAACAAACAAACAAACAAACAAACAAACAAAAAAAAAAAAAAAAACAAGCCAGATTAACAAGAACTCCCAACTGCTTCCTTGAGGGCCTGGGATAGTAAGAATGTGTCCTTTCCTAAATTCCAGATTCAGGGCAAGCTTTCAGTCTCTAGATCCAGCTTCTGGTTGCCTTATATATGCCTGCCAAGCTGCAAGCTCAGTAGGTCCAAATCTGAAATGCAGCTGACGAGTTAGGTTAATGCCTTAGAACGACGAGAAAGAGTATGCCTTTCTGATTTAAAATAGCACACGTATCATAGTCCCACTGCACATGACGCCTGGAGATAATTGTGATATCTTACATAGGCTTGTTCTGCCCCTCCAGTTTATTGTGTGTGCTTCTTCATGGGAGCTTGTTGCTTATTCATCCGGGGACCCACTTCCTCATAAATAAGGTAACTCCCAGAGTTACAACAAAAGGCTTCTCTTTGCTGCTGGATAGTTATTCTACTTAAGAGTTGTATTTCCTTCTCCCTTCCATTCTACACATTTCTTTAAACATTTGTGTTATCCTGAGGAAACCCCACCCCCAGTTCTAAAGTACAATCACCTACTTATTTGAAAACACAAAACAGTGGCTCACATACACGATAATAATGATTTGGGGACTGAAACTGGATACTAAGGTCGAACTGGTCCTTCTCAATTTGATTAGCACAGTCACAATAAAACACGTCTGCCCCCGTGTAAGGTAAAATATACATTCAATAATTTTTTTTTTT